GGGGGGGGGGGGGGGGCGTAGCCGCTGTGACAGAACGGACGAGCAGTGAGGGGAGAGAGAGGCGCCGGCTGTCAGATCCTGGCCTAGCGTCTCTCTCTCTCCTCACTGCTGCATTAGTTAGTGACAGCGGCACCGTCCTCTGCCCTCCCCCGCCGCCGGTTCCTTCACTTTTTCTCGGATCCCCGCTGGGGAGAGCAGCGGGGATCCAGAGAAGCGGCGGGAGGAGAGGACATGGCGATCTACCAGTGATCGACCTTGTGGGCACCCCTGGCTTAGATGGACGAGTCTTAGTGAGGTCCTATCCATGGTAATCTGGAGAGGCACCAAAATAAAGCTCAGATGGATGAGTCATAGTGAGGTCCAATCCATGGTAATCTGCAGAGGCACCAAAATAAAGCTTAGATGGATGAGTCTTAGTGAGGTCCTATCCATGACAACCTGCAGAGGCACCAAGGGAAAGCTTAGATGGACGAGTCTTAGTGAGGTCCTATTCATGACAACCTGCAGAGGCACCAAGGGAAAGCTTAGATGGACGAGTCTTAGTGAGGTCCTATTCATGACAACCTGCAGAGGCACCAAGGGAAAGCTTAGATGGACGAGTCTTAGTGAGGTCCTATTCATGACAACCTGCAGAGGCACCAAGAGAAAGCTTAGATGGATGAGTCTTAGTGAGATCCTGTCCATGACAATCTGGAGAGGCACCAAGGGAAAGCTCAGATGGATGAGCCCTAGTGAGGTCCTATCTATGATAATCTTTAGAGGCACCAAGGGAATGAAAGAACAGGTGATTCGAGCTAGACCCTACTACGTATACCGTGTATATAACATTGTTACTACTTTTGTTTCAAAGGTCAGGTTAGGATTTCCTCTACAAGAATAGAAGATGGGTCAGATGCCTTCAAGATACAGTGATGGTAGGTCTTACAAACATATATAAAATACAGCTCCTACATTCTATAGCTTCTATATATATTTAGAACAATTGCATGATATTTTTTCTATGTATTGGCCATATAAACCATCTTTAGGGGTTAGTAAATCAGCATTTCTCCTGATCCAGTCATCAGTAGTCATCAAAGGCATTAAAAGGGAAAGGAAAGTGTCCTATTCAAGCTAGTGAGCTATTCAAGTTTTGTTTACCTTAAAGTCACTTTTGATGCAACATTCTCATTTTAAATGCTCGATCTTCCATATTTGTGTAACCCCCATGACCTTCTGTGATGTGGCTACTAGACATTTGGTGATGGCCGGGGCTGTAGTCGGCCTGGCTGGATTTATAGTGGCAATGATATGGTTAATTCCAGGTGTCTGGCATTGCCTGTACCCCCCTTGGGCGAAGTGTGACTCTGTCATATTGTGGGACAGCCAATGAGAGGCACTGTAGTGTATGTACAGTACAGCTGCCAATCACTGGGCTTCTCTCTCAGCCAGTGGTGCATGCTGGGATAGGGTACATATACTGGAGGGAATAGCCATGTGCTCAGACTAGCCGGGACCAGCCATGGAATAGAGCTGGGTGCTGTTCAACCTGCCCCCCAGGCTATGCCTGATGCCTGAGGGTGGGCATAGGCTGGTGTGAGGGAAATGTTTCCCTGAGACCTCCAACATGGAGGAGGCCTGTGTTGCTGTAAGAGGAAGAGACCCATGACCAATGATGGCTCTTGAAGTATCCTGCGACCTAAGGACTTCAGGAGCATGGCGGGTGTCTTTCCTTCTTGAGGATCTGTGTTTATCCTACTTCAGTTGCCATCGGCTGCCTCCCAAGTGGATCTACACTGATATGTCAACCAGGTCTGGTGAGTCCGGAGTTCTTGTCAGTTCCACCGGGAAGCTTAGAATCCCCCCATAACCTCTCTCCTCAGTGAAGATGTTTAATAAAATGTTATTTTGCATTATACTACTGGAGTGGACCTCAGTTTGTGGGCACCAGAAGAAGGGCAGTTAATGATAATGGGTGGGCAGCGTAAGAACATACCCTAGACCTGTGGTTCTCAACCTGTGTAACCTCAGGACCCACATTTGTCCTTGGTCATTAAGTTGTGACCCAAGTTGCACTGCAATGGAACGCACGGCATTGCTGTACCGTGTGTTCCGATGCAGGTGATCGAACTGTGGGTGGGAGATGCATGTGGGGTGCCATTCAAATGAATGGCAATGCAATGCACCTCCCACACCAGAACCCAGGACGGTGAGATTAACATACTGTACTGGTGTGAATGGGCCCTCAAAAACACTGACAGACACACACAATCACACACACACCCAGTCTCCCTACCTTACGAGAACTGGAGTGGATCCTCAGCCTGGGGTCCAGTGTGGGCTGCTGTGCTGTGAAGGAGCTCCATCCATATGTACATCTCCCTTGCACACCCGGTAGAGGTGTCAGGAGCCAGAATGTGACATCCCTCCGGTCCAGGCACACGAGGCATCACTCCTCTACAAGGCACACAAGGGAGCTGTAATCAATGCACATATGGATGGAGCTCCCCCATGGCCATAGCCCTAGCCTACCCCATCCGCTAGGGGGAGGCTGAGGAGCCTCTCGCCTAGAAAAGTGAAAGGCACACGGCGACCCACTGAACACAGGGTCGCGACCCACTTTTGGGTCACGACCCACCAGTTGAGAACCAAGGCCCTAGACAGACTAGAGATGAACCGGGCATCCAGCGGTTCCTTCGGGGGTGAGCGCTACATTTGTATTATTTTATTACACATAAAGCTTTGTACTTGGAGCTTTGCACTCGACTCAAGTTTGAGGCTAATAACATTAGCCGAGTTTGTGGGAGGATTCGGAGCCTCCAGGGCCCTTAAACATGGAAGGGAAAGGAGGACGCATCTGCTGCTGACTTCCGGCGTACCCTCCCACCCGTCCCCATTATTATTACTGGTATTATTTTCAAAGCTTACTTGAGTACGCCCCCTTATTTGGCGTACTGACCATAAAAATCATGGCACACCTCAGGTTGTGTGGGGTAGGGAGGTCAACATGGCCTTGGTTTGTATCATGTACAAAGGGGGTAACATGCGGGGCACGCGAGATTCCGAACACAACCTTGTTTAACCTCCATACTAAGCACCCCTTGTGTCCCTCTCGTCCTCCAGGAGAACATGAAAAGTTCCATCAGTTGCTGTCTCAATACGACTTCGGTGAACTTCAACTGATCTATGAGCACTTTAGAAATGACCTGATCTGCATTGTGGAGTCCACCAGAGATATCAAACACCTGCTGGAGTACCTGGACTCCCGGAACATCCTCAATAAGGAGGTAAGCAGAAAAATGTGCTGACTTTCTATAGAAAATGAAGCTAGCAATCAAAGCTACGAGTGGTGGGTCATCTTCAAAAAATCTTTAAAGAGGAACTGGGAGTTATAAACCTGACCCTTGTAGTGAGGCTACCCCCACACTGCAAGTATAAGTGCTTGTTTTGGTCTAGGGGCCGGAATAAAGAAGTTCTACCCACCTGATCCTTGGCTGCTAGACCATTGCCTAGAGCCTCTTCTCATCTGGGCTCTAGCAGTCTAAGGACCATTGGCGTCTCTTGTAGTCTAAGGACCATTGGCGCCATCACTTCGAATGCAGGTCCATTGACTTACATTAGACATGAGGATGCCAAGGGACATACCACAGCCAGAGTGGAAAGAGATGAGCGATGACCGGCCACAGGACCCAGGATCAGGTGAGTATATCTTCTTTATTCTGGCCCCCTGACCAAAACCAGCAATGAACCCTTGCAATGCCGGGGTAGCCCCACTGCAAGGTTATGTTTTATAAAATCCTGGAGTTCCTGTTTCATTGAAAATTGCAACAATTTTATGTCACATGGGTGAATCCCAGAGCACCGCGAGGTCCGTAAAGAGAGAGGACAGCAGGAACTGCTTTCTTTCAGACACTCTGTCTCTCTAATAAAAGTTCTGTTCAAAGGGAAACAGAGCACCACGAGGTCCGTAAAGAGAGAGAGCAGCAGGAACTGTTTTCTTTCAGACACTCTGTCTCTTTAATAAAAGTTCTGTTTAAAGGGAAACAGAGCACCATGAGGTCCCTAAAGAGAGAGGACAGCAGGATCTGCTTTCTTTCAGACACTCTGTCTCTTTAATAAAAGTTATGTTTAAAGGGAAACAGAGCACCACGAGGTCTCTAAAGAGAGAGGACAGCAGTAACTGCTTTCTTTCAGACACTCTGTCTCTTTAATAAAACTTCTGTATGCAGCTGTTTAAAGGGAAACAGAGCACCATGAGATCTCTAAAGAGAGAAGACAGCAGGAACTGCTTTCTTTCAGACAATCTGTCTCTTTAATAAAGGTTCTGTTTAAAGGGAAATGGGATAAGCTACATTTGTGTTTATAACTTCCAGATGGAGATACTAATATTTTTAGCCTTGACCATGATAAATAATACTGTGTACCCCTTTAAAAACCGTGTATGTCTGTCTCTGATTGAATCGACATGTGCGGCCATCTGAATATAACGAACTGGGGGGACAAAACAAGTCCAGGTTCTCTTTCAATCCCACGCTTGGGTTGGGGGGGGAGTCCATGTGGCAAGATGAAGCTAATGACATTATATCCGATATTTTGTTTCTATTTATTTCCCCTGAAATCAGTAACTTTGTATTCTAGTTAAATCTCCAGATGAGGAGAGACCTGGGACCCTTCGCGTTCTCGGAGAAGCTGGTGCAAGATATTCTGGACGCTGGAAAAGAGGCCGTCATGGGATTCTTGGAAGGCATCTACGATCTACAGCAATATTGTTCATCTGATCATTTGTATTTCCTTCAAGATGAGTTGGATGCATTCGGTAACTAGAAGGTGTCATTCTGTATGTTGTGTATTCATTGACGTATGTAAGTTTGGTGGGGGGGGATTATTGTGTGTGTGGAGGGGGGTTGATTTTCAGGGGTTGAGCTTGGCCCCTTATTTCCTGTGAAGGGAACTCTTAAGACATCGGCATACCAAGACATTTTGGACAATTTCCTGCTCCCAACTGTGTGGGAGGAGTTTGGGGACGGCCCCTCCCTGTTCCAACATGACTGCGCACCAGTGCACAAAGCAAGGTCCATAAAGACATGGATGGGGGAGTTTGGGGTGGAGGAACGTGACTGGCCCGCACAGAATCCTGACCTCAACCCCATAGAACACCTTTGGGATGAATTAGAGCGGAGACTGCGAGCCCGGCCTTCTTATCCAACATAAGAACCTGACCTCACAAATGGTCCAACATTCCCATAAACACTCTCCTAAACCTTGTGGACGCCTTCCCAGAAGAGTTGAAGCTGTTATAGCGGCAAAGGGCGGAGCAAACTCAATATTGAACCCTACGGACTAAGATTGGGATGCCATTAAAGTTCATGTGCGTGTAAAGGCCGGCGTCCCAATACTTTTGGCAATATAGTGTATGTTTATAATAGCAATATTCAGAAGGCAGAGGTGACCTTTATTTATATTATTCATGGTCCACCCAAAGACCCTTTCCCTCATGGTGACCATCTAATATATATAAAACAATTTGAATACAGAGGCTATATTCATGCGACATGTGTTCTTAGATAACTTAGCTATGAAAGAAAATAATTTGGCTTCCTGTAAAACTAAATAAAACTTAGATGAACATACAAAATCAGGGTATACCCAAAAATTGATAATGAACATCCATGACTGTTACCCAATCCAATTCTTGCCCTTCTATCTTCCTCAGACGGGTCCACAACTGTTTTAGATGGGGGTATATGTAGCTCTGAGATGTACTTTGGAGATTTGTGCGATATGTTGCCTCAAAAGACAAGTCCAGGTTTGACTTCCCACAGGTCCATGCAGGCAAGATGGATTCTATTTGGGAAGAAAACATGTGACTTGATGGCATCGCTTCCTGTGGTGGTTTTGTAGGTTCAATTTGTCTTCAAAACAGTTGTATGAAACT